ACAGTTGGTTTGAATCAGTAAATTACCTGGAGACTTGAGTTATTATCGAGCAAGAACACTGCAACAAGCAACAGTACACATGAATGCAGTCAGAATTGTGCGGGTTACAGAAATGAATCATTGCTAATAATAGATGCAATAGATAACTCTCTTGATATGTAGTTGAAATAAACATTTTTAATGACAAAAGTCAAGCAGCATAGAATGCCTGACACTCATGCTTACGTCGTATACGCATAAATGAGGTATTTCCATATATAATATTGTCACAAAATACAGTAAGCTGATAGCCATATGTTCCAACAGTCATATAAATAGTTATTACACACTTGTTAGCAAACATGCAAATAATTACTGCATTTACCTTTCTTTAGTACTACTATTAAATGCTTGATAAGCAGCATGTCAAGGTATAAATTATATTTACATTGTATTATGCAATGACTCCGCTACTCCTTACAAATGCGTATTAAGTATAACAACTTTTCCAAACGTTAATTAAAGCGATAAAGCGATATTTTGACTACTTTGTCACCTCACAAAATCTTGCAAGGCATACCAAAATTTTTCATCAAATAAAATAATGGCTTACCATGGTATTAATAAACCTATTGCCTCAAATTTGGATAATTAAGCCAACGAGGGTAAAGGTCATTGCATTACATAAGTATTATGCTAACGATATTGAACGAGTTAACTTATAAGCATACAGAAAAATAATGAATAAAAAAATATATTTAATAAACTGCAGAAGTAATCATTCTTATGTGGGGATAAATTTTAGCACGTATATACAAAATCGCATTAAAAATGATTATTACTTCGTTATCATCAATGATTTTAGCAGTGCGAAATTAGAAACTTAATAGAAGGAAGAGTTGTGCACTGAAATTCAACCTATCATTCCTCCTTCCATACAATGGCTTAGGATTATTCTAGCGGGTGGAATACTAAGTTTCGCTTGGTCATCATAGCTTAGAGTTCCCATGCTTGATGCACTTATTGATCGTTTTATATTTGGTTCGCATTCAATAATAGTAACAATAGTGATATTGAATTTTATTATTGATAACAATAATAACATTGATAGTGATAATAATGCAAATGAAAAATATTAATGAGAAGTAAATATGACAATAATGCATTTACGAATAAGTGATGCATGAAGAATGATAATAGCAAAAAAAAAGATCAGTTATAAAATTATTGACGAGAAAAGTTTTGTTAAGATTTGAACAACAAGATTTCAATCTTGTACATGTGATCTTTGCCAGCAAGCGTTACAAGTGTATCACTTTTCTTGAATGAATGAAAAAGTTCTATCAGTAAAAAGTTTCTCAATGTGGAATAGAACGTAGTCATTTTTGAAGTGGTTGCGGAACGAGCACAGTTCTCAAACATACGCTCAAACCTACTAACCAATAATGTTTCTTAAAAGCTGCTTCAGCTGTAACAGAGTTTTTCATTACAGATGCAATTTAGTAATACTCAGTGTAATTAAGTTGACTTAATCTGTCATTAAGGCATAAGAAGCATTTAAATTTTACCATGCACTCATAAAACTGAAGCGAATAGCACAAACAGTGGGAGTTGTTTAAATACTGTATCGGTCGATAGTTGAGCAAGTAGATGGTTTCAAAAAAGTGGCAGTACCAGAGGTCAAGCAAATAAATTCAAAACTGAGAGAACATTTGATTTTGAACATTTAAATGTATAGAAGTGTACAGAATGCGTAAAATAGAACTAATATTCACTTAAGACTAATTCTAGTTTGAAAATTGAATAATTTATTGCAAAAATGTGGACAAAAGTTTGGTCATTAAGTTAAGTACAAAGGCTTGTAAATGCATATTGAGTAGTTTATATTCTATAAATAATCTTGGGTTATTTAACTGTATGACAATAAATCTGAATTCTTTGTAAAACCGGAGAAGCAGTTAATTTGGACATTTTTGTAAAGAGATGAGGAAAATTCAACTTGGTGCAACTTAAGTATGAAACAGTTTAAACGAATCATAGAAGTTCATTTGCTGAAGTTCAAGAGTTTGTAAAGCTTTGTTATATCTTGTATTATTTCCAGTACTTTTATGAAGGAATACTTTTGTGCTATTACAAAAAATATACAGTAGATGTGTGCTTAAGCTTAGAAAAAGTGTTATTACGTTAAAAGAGTGAAAATAAAGAAAAGTTCTGATTAAATTTGCAACTGTGAAAGCATTTTGAGAAGTCAACTTCGCACTCATTGACGCTTATGGAAAGAAAATCATTAATACTTTAGCAGTGAAAGCCGAAAAAAAAGAAGGAAAAAAGTTGAAGAAGTAAACTGCAGTCATTATTTCTTTAAAAATTAGTCACAAAGATGTGTATGCATGATATTTGTCCCTTTTATTATTTTGTTTGCAAATATTCTGAAGAAAAACAAAAAAATGAACATAAAATTTTATGATTCGCTTTCTTCCTTATATGATTTTCGACCCATTATTAGTAATAATATTCCTTCTGATTCCTACAACATTCTTCCTGAATCCTAATAATTATGATTTCTCATATTTTAGAAACTTTTATTCTTTTTTTTCTTGTATCTCTAATAAATTTTCTGTGAAAATCCGATAAGAAAATCTACTTACTTATGTTTTTTACGATAATTTATACATATGTCAAATAAAGAACAAAAACCCTAACAAACTGTATTGCTTAAATTATTCTTTTTCATTAAAAGTTATATATTTTTAGAAAGCTAACCCAACTGATAAATTAATTTTTTACTCCAAAAAAATAACTCTTATTAAAAACAATTAGCGTTTTATCTATGATTAATAAATACTGTAATAATAATTTTTGGTAAATTTTCAACATGTCATAGCAATACTCTTTTCTCTTACCTATTGAAGCGATCTTTTACATGCATGATGACATCGCGACTTGATTGGTAGTTGATAGTCATTGGTAGTTTTTTGGGAAGCATGAATACTCAGCTCGTCCTTACCTTCAGAACTCGGTAGCTAACAATACTGCAACTGTAGTTATTTCTACCCATGCTACAGTTTACTAACCTCATTTAGATATTTTGCGGAAAAGCTGCAGACAACTCATATCCTGGCTTAAGGATTATCGTCATAATGAAGCAGATTTCAGACTTATACCCACAAAAACTCTCCAGTGTACATCCTTCATTTTTGTGTAATGGTTATTTAGGTTGCACGTGAAATATTATAATTACTTATTTAGCATTCAAACTTCATCAGTGAAAAAAACCGTTCACTAAAAACTAAGCATTGATGACCACGATCGAACCTAGTTCATCATTCTTTCGCCCAAAGTCACCAAAATCATTAAATAAACTCCGAAATGAACTGCAGTTAGCAAACCACTCAGAAAATCTCATCCTTACTAGTGATTATTTATTATTCTCAGTCACTGTTGACACATGAAGCATCAGAGAATAAAAAAAAAATCCAGCTCTATTACCTGTAATGCCAAGGGATTTTGCTTCACACATGGTAACCCCAATTACTAGCAATAAAATATAGAAGTTTTACTGCAAAGAAATCACTTATATCAGTTTAGACTTGCAAAAACAAGTTAAATTGAATCTCACCCAGCAAATCAAATTTGATATTGCACTCAGTTCTACTACCTCTATTCGGGAATTATGTCTTTCTTCGGTACTTACATGACATCCACTATGTATGACCCTCAAATAATTTCTAGAAGACAATGACACGAAGAATTAAATACAAAATTCAAGCAGGTACATCTGTGTTTCATTAATAATTATTTTGAATCTCATTAATCTTTTGCTTGTTTACGTGTACTAGTCCTATCTACTGCGAACATTGCACTGCAAAAAGCTTATTTTCAGACCACAATCCTTTCTCATTACTGACAAAACGAAACCATACAAAGGGAATAAAACATTGTTCTGCATTATATTGATCATTCCAGCAGCTTAAACTTACAAAAAAATGAAATAGCGCAGAAATTATATGATGTGACAAAGTTAAAAACCATTTTCATCTGATGATCACGAGAAAATGAGAATCAACGATCAATGCTTAAATGACCATAGTTCAAGTGAAACGCTATAACAACAAATGAATTCTAACAATACCTGCTTTTCTTTTCAGTTATCCTCGGAAATAAAAGCGTCATGAGTGATTCTCAAATAAAACTCGAAAAACATGAATAGTTCGACGACAAGGAGTTACGAGTTAAAGAAAGTAAAAAATTGTTATGAATGATAGCTGAATGGCAAATTATACTAGAATACAAGGGTAAAACACATGTTGAAGCAGTAAGAATCAAAAAAGTTATTCATAAGAAATTCGTAATACTGCAATACACATAACACTCATTGTCAATGTAATCTAGAAACATTATTTAAAACCGGATCATGAAAAGTGCTGCTGAAACGTTCTAACTGAACCAGATAAATATTTCAACCGTTCACATAGTGCAGTAATTATGCACTGAATCAGTGAAAAAGTACGGGATATGTCATACATAAAACTAACATATTTAGAAAACCAGTTACTCTATTTTTGCTCATGAAAATTGTAAAAGATTGCCTAACTTGATTTCAATTTCAGCACTAATCACGAAAGAACGTAACCAGTAATGTGCCATCGCAGTACAATTTTATATTAAACAGAACTCAGGCTGATGGTAATCTTCTGAGCTGAACAATTAAGTTATAAGGTTTGAATCCTTACTAAATCTATACCTCATGTTATAAAAAAACTACGAAAATTTTCCTCTAAATGTTTTTCTAACGATTAAGCATAAATTTTAATTCATATATCTGCATTAAATTTGAAAAAGTGGAGCGTGACAGTTTTAGAGTCTTGAAATGATATTCTAATTAGGAATCACAACCCTAAACAATAAAAACCTAACTTATCAGTTTCGACCACAGCAATAAATAACGACGTTCACAAGAATAATCTGGGCCGACGATATAAAATACATTTAATGACCTAATTAATTATTCATTTTCAAAATTAACGTCCTGGTTTCATCACATTTTGTCCATGCATAATTTGAGAATGAGACTGAGTAACTGAAATGAAAAAGTGTATCAAATCTAGCGCACTCTGGAGAAAAATTCCAATAATTCTAAATAAAATTAAAATTACCTATAGAAAAAGTGACTATGTAAGATTATTTATTTGAGCAATACGGTCAACATTTAAAAATTTTACGTATTCGAAAAATATCGCGATTCACGTCTTGTGCAGGAGATATATGCATATCAGCAGTTAAAGGTAGATTACTGACAGCAGATCTGATATCAACTGTGTGTGCGTGAGTACAGTAACCATCAGTCAAACCATTGATCATATTCTGCACACTGTAGTCTATATGATTAGCTTCCGTGCTCGCTAATAATCCTAGATAATACTTGAATTCGTGCTCATTTCCAACGAATAGTTGAGCAAAACGAAAAAAAAAATAGGAAGCGAAACGCAAAGAAAATTAGATATTAAACACTACTCCATTACAACTCAAAGTAATGAAATCCGACAATGTTTTCATTAAAGAACTACGATAAAGACCCTTAGTTTGTAGTTACACTTCATCGCTACAAAATCTGTGGTTAGAAATCAATAAGTGACTTCATACATTAAATTCATCTTAAAATTCCGTAGATCCTTAATGAAAACATGCTAATGGACAAAACATGAAAAACTAAAACTTCTCGTCAAACCAATTACCAGTGTTTTGTAATAATGTATCAGATGGAGATTCATTAGTACAACCAGTAGGAGGGATGACTGCCGTTCCTGTATATCGAAATAAAGGATTCTTCAAATCCAAAGTGTTGCTTACACGATATGAACCTGCTTCTGCCCATATATTAACATCATAACTTTGCCTGAAACAATGTAAAAGCAGAAATTCCACTCAACAAACGAAACACACGCCTAACTTTAATTTGCTCTCCAATTTACCATAGCCAATATATCATTTCCTTTACAGTGTCTTAATGAATAATTTTACCTTTCATTGGCAATCATTTCGATGGCACCTCGTACTATTTGACCAGCATAAACCATTAAAGGCCTATTAAAAAGACAACGTACTTGATACCAATGTGTCAATGGTTCTGTAGGTGCCGTAGATAGCCAAATTGTTTCCCTGAAGGATTTAGCAATGAATCAGTAAAAGATAGCACGTTTTCTTGTATTTTTTTCTCTTAATATACTTGATTTTGAGAATGAAAGTTTCTTTGGCTGAATTAGATAAACACTGGAATTAAATCACAAATCTATCGGTCCTGAAAATATTGAAATAACACACGTTGACCCCACAAAAGCGACATCGAACCAAGAAGCAATTCCATGAACATGTCCAGCTTTCGTTACCATTAAATCAAACGGTATGTATATTTTATGCAAACTTGATTCAGAATCTTTTTCAAAATCAATGATCCATTTAACACTTCCAGTCATTAAACAGTTCAAATGCCAAGTATCCTGAACAAATATAACAATCACGCAATTTTTGAATAAAAAAAATAGAAATGGCAATAGAAACAGAGGATTCGTGAGTAACATAAATATAATTTTGTTTATTCCTTGAAAATAATTCTAATAAATTCAATGATCGAATTACTCACCACAACTGGCTGTTTGAATATTTCAGCAAGTGCTTGAGGTCGTAAACTGGATAAGTTGACACCATGAAAGTTTTCTTGACACCAAAAATTCGCCTTGGAGGTTTGTTCAATATAAAGAGCTTCATCGTTAAACAGAGCAAAATGCAATTCTCCTCTAGATGGAAACATTCGACCTATTAAACGAAGTATACTAGAAAGCATCAACTTTATAAAGAACTGATAAAATAGTGGTCACTGTGATTTGACAATCGCCTAAAGTTGTTTGATAAAAGAACATGAAACTTAGATGAGTTATTTGCCAATTAATTCTCAATAAACTGATAAGAATCCATAGAAGTATACCACATTTTTAATAAAAACTGTCTACAACATGGAAATATTCAATATGTGACTGTCTTCACCAGTGCTTTAGTATGGTGAGTCCTTCAAAAAAAGCAAAATTTCGAAAGACAAGATAGCGCTTCTCTGATTTTTCTTTGAGCTAGATGACACAAGAAATTAATAGTTTATTGCTTGAGTAATAAGTCATCCATTTAATCTATCAATATCTCAAAAAAGATGAAGATGATATGTAAACATCTCGTAAAATGATATAATAAAGCTTTAAATATATACCTCCCATTTTAAGAAATTTTTTGGCGTGTATGTAACTCTCAAGCATTCGCTCATTTACCAACATATAACCCATAGGTTCTGATATGATGATATCAACAGGTTCGGGTAATGAAACATCTTCTACACGTCCAGCAACGATTGTAATTTTATCAGTCAAGTTATTAGATCTAACAAGTTCCTGAAAACCACTAACAGTTAAGAAGTAGAAATAAAGAAGCAAAACTAAATATGAAAAAGCCAAAGTGTTTAGATCAAGAAAGTAAAATTGAAAACCTTGAAATAAAAAAGTTCAGGAAATAACAATATAAATTTACCTCCAAATATAAGAATAAAAACTAGTGGTCACTATTCCTAGTTTTATATAATGCTGACTTAATGTAGTTTTACAACTTTTGAAACATAATAAGATATAAAAACTATGAAAGAAAAATGCTGTATCCAAATGAACAAACCGCGCAGTGTATCGCCATAGAACTTGCTTCAACTGCATACACATGTCGAGCACCAGACTGCACAGCAAAAAACGAAAGAATGCCACTCCCTGCTCCTACATCTAATACTACCTACATAAAATTAAAAATTAGTTGCTTTGTTAAAGGAATATGTAGACCACAAGTCTGCGATTAATAGAGTACAATCATGTATGATAACCTTATCCCGGAAATCCTTTGAATTTATATGGATAGCTCGCTGATATGTTGATGTTCGAACATAATCTTGCATCATATTCTGCTGTTGAGATAAGTATCTGCGAAAAATGAAACATGATTTCGTGTTCAACTTCGGTTAAAGAGCCATTTTTGAGATTCAGTAAATTACTGGTTAGTTTTAAAGAAACTTAAACTGATAATGATCTTTATAATGAAAGTTTTTCACTAACTCTTTAAGGAAGTACCAATTAAGTAAATTTCATACAAGTCGGATTTTTTATGATATTTCAAATTCAGCAAATACAGAGATTTTAATTATACCCATAAAACTGAAAGTATTGTGTAGCAGATGCGACTTCGGTCCTTGCATCAAATACTGACACCTTCTCATTATCACTACCTGCTGAAGCTGTTGAGCGAGATGGTTTTATAGACTGGCACATTTTTAAAGCCGTTAAAAATTCAGACACATCTAAAATACTTTGCTACTAACTTCAGCTAAAAAGATTAGTAAGCCTTTTCATTTAAATTCCTGAGGTAAACTGTCATAACTTCACTTAAAGACACTGAGTACATTGAAAACAACTTTGATAAAACTAGAAACCATAATCGTTGTAGCAGTATAACGATCTTCAATTGTATAACACGAAAATAAGTTGTTATTAAATCAACTGAGTAGTATTCTACACCACAAATAAATATGTAAATAATAGACTAACATGCCTTTAGTATTTTGGAATCTCAAGATTTTTGTACTTCCAACTTTCATGTTGTTTTCCCGGTTATGAAAACCTAACAATACAGTACCCAACCGGAACACATTTAGCATTGGGATACGCCACCTCCATAATTCAACTTGACTAGCATCTATAATTAAGTTCCGCTTTAGTTTCTTGCCTTTGATTACCTTATATCAACCTCAAGAACATAATGCCAAAACCATACCAATAATGCACACAGACTGATTGTCAGGTGCAATGCCGACTGCGACGGCAGATGCGTTGTGATGGCTAGTCATAGCAGTACGATCAACTTCTACATCCACAATATGAGCAAATCCGAAAAGTCGTAAAGTCATTACGCAGCTGAACGTTGTTTTCGGTTTGACAGAACAGTCTAAAACAGAACCAAAGTAAATGCAAAGTTAAAGAAAAGCCAGAAAAGGGGATGATAAATACGAAAGGTTTCAATTAATATCCATGCAAACACTGAAAAACTGCATTTTGACTTCCATTTTTTTAACTCTAACATCCTTTTCTTCTCAACTTATTATCACTTATTATAATCTTTAGGAAATGTAAAAACATTCGTTAAGCTACGGATAAATCTGCTTGAATTAATCGTTATTCACAGAAACTTGCTGATTTAAAATTTAACTATTTATGAAAAAACTGTTTTACATTGATAAGTAAATAATTCTTCATAGAATATTTCCAATTTTACAAATTAAAAAAATCACGAGGCCATTAGTAATGAATATTCAAATTTCGTACGCACTATCAGACGGTACAATAGAAACAAGAAATAGGCTGAAGCTCAGAGCCTTGAATTTGAGTAAGCATTAATATTATCTAATCATTAATTAATATGAGAATGAACATTTCTTCCTTACTCCTGTGACTAGAAACACGGCCCAACTACGATTCGGTATCTTTGTGCAACACAGAAATGATGAATATGATATTTGATTTGAGCGCAGATATAATAAATACACAAGCGTACAGCATGCTTGACTCATGCTTTTAGTTGGTTATATCCTGTTGTGAAGCATGAGATTCAAGCTTAGTGGCACATACATTCATGTTTCCGAGACTTCATCCTATAAGTGCAGCATTGAGAATTGATGTAAGCTCTGCCAATTCATATCTATCTTCTTTCTGTTTTCTATCAAAAAGCGAAGTGGCCAAACATTGGGATAGTCAGTTATGATGCGAAGATCGAATTCTTCCAGGTATATATTTTTATTCGTCGAAAAATAAAAATCTTAAAAGGAAGTTATGGTCAGATCTAATTCCAAGCCTAATTTGCTTACAATGTTCATCTTTCTTGTCGATTTCAGTCACGAGTTGTTATCACAAATGGATAATTAGTTGTGTAGTGGGACTGAAATTAATGTCATTAAAATTATTTTTTGCATACTGCTCATTGAAAGTTCAACATGAATTCACTCACTTCTGATCATTTTCTAAAGTATCAGCTAAACACATACTCCAACTTCTTTAACACTCGACTCACTACTATTATTGTCTTTTACCACCTGAAAACATTGCTTGCTGCAATTAATTTATGTCACGAATTAGAAAGCAATGAAACCTTGTACTGAAATGCCTCAAGTCCGTAAGGAGATTCATATCAGTTTTTAGCGCTGGCCAAACTTGTGATTTGAGCATTGAAGTTAGTTGTAATGTGCCATATCTGCATTACCGATTTCTTGGAACCGCATGTTTTCATTCTATCTTTTTACAGTTCACTTTGTAACTGATGTTAGTGCTGTTATTTATTGCTGGTTCATTTATCTATTCATTAATTTATTCATTCACGCGCAATTTTAGGTTTTATCGTGAAATATGTCGCTGAAATTCAAATGATTATTGCACAGTACAAGCGCAGAATTTGTTTACAAGTATAGTGCTTTATTTTTCTAATAGCATTAAGTCATTCTCTGATAATCATAAATAAATTTGCTTCGAAATGCTAATTATTGATATTTGGTTGTAAAATAATCGTTTGAAGGATTCACTGCCATTCAAATTTGCTTGAATTTAAAAAAATGTTTACTTGAAAGGACGAGATAAGTTCGAGTACCACTTAGAACACCTCTCTTAAACATGGTTAGTTGAATTTCTTCGTTTATTTCCCACATTATGGACAACTCAGAATTTAGTTCTCTTGTGGTCACAAGCTAATAGTTGGATTTTGAGCATCAAAAAATAAATTAGTCATGAAATAGCCAATATATCTGCTATTTTCTGGCTGATTTGATTCTTGCATTTTAGAATCTGATGCTTTAATTTTGATAATCTTTACCTCATTTTATTTCCTACTTTTTGTTCCAAAAATACGAGCAACGACATGGTTTACCAAAATTTGCTGTTAGTAATTTTTGTGAAACACTTGATTTTGGTAAATGATTTAAAATAGAAATTAACTTTAACTGAATTCATTAACACTGCTTTATAATTATTATTCATACTTCTTTGGAAATATTTTCAATTATACTATGATTTTCCTTATTTGAAGGCATGTGCAGGATTTCATGGGATGTTACTATTTGCACAATGTTCTCTTTCTTTGGTGTTTCAGGACGACGTAACAAAGCAGAATTGAGAATTTCATAAGTAATGGAAGTAACTGGTACATTGGATTCGAAATGTTTGGTTTCAATTCTGTTATATTGTCATTATGTGTATTCACAGAAATTACTAGTAATTTCAAATCTTGATGTAGCTGAATTGTATTTTCATAGCAGTCAGACAAATGTGGAATCAAATAAGGCTAGTTAGGTAGTGACCAGGAAATGTAGGTATTTAATTTTAAGAACTATGGGTGAAAATTTTACGGAATTAATTCATTAATTTTCGACCTAGAACTATTCATCGTACGTGGTAGTTATATTTTGTACATTACACTTGAATTTGTCCATTCTATGATTTAGTCTTGAATTCAGTGGAGTGATTTGTTTTTTGCAAGGTTTTTTTTGCGGTAGGCTCTGTAATTTACTTTCTTCCTAATTTTAAAAAGTTTCTATACACTTGTTTTTCAGTTTCCCCATGTTGTTTCATTTCAAAAAAAAATACTGTGCTTAATTACAATGATGTTTTTTTTGACTGGTCTTGAATAGATTAATTTAATGTATTTTTTAGGCACTATTAGTTTAGTGTAGCGATGCTTCAAAGTTAAAACTAGTTGCATGTAATTTGAAGTGGAAGAACGAAAAAAATAAGTTAGTGCGCGCATTATTTAATTGTTTGTTAGCTTTCCATTGTTTATAATTGGTGCACCGTTGTTTTTAAGTATTTTATAAGGGTAGTTTACAGTTCTCTTAAAGCATGGGTGCTGATGAACCACGATTCCGTGTCTTGCATGTTAGCAATATTTCTATGACAGCCACTCGAGAGCAAATATATCAACTGTTTGCATTCATTGGACGAATCGACGAGTTTAAGGTCAGACTTTTTTCTTATCAAAACAAACAGGGCAAACTCTCCATTATAGAAAAGCAATTAGTGATGATTGTAAGCAACGTATCATGTATTATGTACTTTCCAGCTACAGTGTCCTAACTCTGCTGTAACAAAATAGAGGTGTTATAAGATTTAATTTGTTTTTCTCATGTTTCAAATTGTCTTCATGCAAGTCTAGTTTGACACAGAAGTTTCTTTTGCTTTTGTCAATAATGAGTCATACTTGTTCAGATTTATCCTTCTGATAATCATCCACAATTATCGACATTTACTCAGAAATTTGCGTACGTTAAATTTGAAGATCAGAAATCAGTGGAAGTGGCACAACATCTGACGAACACAGTTTTCATTGATCGCGCACTTGTTTGCATTCCATCCGTATCAGGTGGGGCTTTCTCAATTCCGATGCATTTGGATGGTTTTAGTTTCGTTTTCCTGCTTTAAAGCTAAATAATGCTTTTCTGGCAAAGGAATAACTTTGAAAAAGATATTCATTCCGTTATTTTTTTGCAAAACTTTTTTTTGATTGAGTAAACATCATTCTTTTCGACTTTTGAAATGTTTACAGATATGATACCAGACGAAGAAACAGCGTTAAAAACAGGTGGACCAGCTTGGCCAGGGCAGCGTCAGCTACCACCAAATGTTGTCAATCAAATCCAGGATTTAGGAGATGGGCAGCAAATGGTTATTTCATTTTTGTTTTTGTTTTCTGTTTTTTTTTCAGTAGCAAAATGGAATCAACATTTCTTAGGCAAAAAATCACCACATAAGGTTTGTTAATAATACCATCGAAAAGTCAAAATTCGCTTCTCACTTCGTTCATAATTTAATTTTGACAAATTTGGCACTGTGATAGGATGAAAGACACATTCTGAGTTGTATTATGTGTATCGTTTGTTTCAGTTTCGTCGATTACAGATTGCCGTTGAAACGCTTACTGCTGTTTGTTATTTGCGGTCTTTGATTAGGTCATTATTGACATGCACTAGAGTTTCTAAGCAGTAGTAGTTTGATAATGATCTATCGATAGATGTCAAGTTGACGGAGAATATCTTTTGGACTGGAATATATTGTCATTCGTTTCAATAATTGCTTGCTATCCTAATTGAGATAACTTTAAAATCGTTTTCTTAAGTTTTTATTATGACCTAATTCTCTTATCCATCCCTTAAAGTTTGTTTGAAATGATTTGAGACAAGCTGTGAATTTTGAAGGTTCGAAAAAAAAAATCAGATTAACGGAGAAACATCGCTTTTACAGGATGGAAGGCTTTGGCCGTACTTTTTGGAGTGGAATTTGTGGTGCTCATCATGACAGAGAAAACGGCAGCAGTAGCTGTCCTAACACTTTTATCTAAATTTTTGTTTCAGTAAACTGGCATATAGTGACTGAATTGTGAAACACATGCACACCCATATACACAAATACAAATTGTTCAGTTACGGAGTTCAGAATTTGGTGGGTCTCCGTGGTATCTCAGCACCAAACGGCCCTCGTTTTGAGCATATGTGTCTATATTGTTTATTTAAAATTAAGAAATTCGAGTTAGCTTGAGACTCAATTTTTTGCGCATCAAACAGTTGTTTTTATTAAACCTTACAGAGCACATCAGTAATGTCCCCTTCTAAATTTGAATCATGAAATTGCAAAATATTTTGGAGTACTTTGTGGTTCCGAGTTGGTAAAATTTATTTTACATAGTGTTAATTATTATAATTATATTTGATAATCATACTTTTTTTAGTTGCTTACAGTAGACCCGACATTGACCGCTTTGGGCTTACCACCTTATCCGGCTTTGAGTGCAAATACAGAAACAGCGAAAGTAGAAGAAATTCGTCGTACAGTCTACGTTGGCAATGTACCGAAAGATTGTGATGGTGAAGAATTGATGAAATTTTTCAACGATAATATTGGCGAAGTTAGCTATTTTGTATTATTATATTTTTTAACCTTTCCTTTTCGGTTTTCATGCTAAATTTTAATTTTGCAACATACTGCATGGAAGCATCTTTTATTGTAATTTAATTTACATCTTGAGTTTTAAAAATTTTTGATGAAAAGTGAAAGCTATCCATCCTCGACATTATAACTTTTTCTTATTACCCTTATTTTTCCAAACATAAATAGAGTTCATTTCTTTCCATCGTTTCATAATTGTATAGACGACTGTACTGTAGTAAATGAAATTTATACAAAATGATAGCAGCCATAAATAATACATTTTGCCTGAAATGAAAAAAAATATAGGAGAGGAATGATTTAGCTTTAAATTGTCCACTGAAACCAAAAAACTAAAATTTACCGCCGCCTACGATGTGAATGATAGCTGAGCGTGTCTCGTTGATTCCATGTCTGAAACAGTCCATTTGGTCAGTTTCGTTAGGTGAAAGACAGTTGAATATTTCATCTTATGTTAATTTTCCTTTTGTTTTGTACTTTCATGGCAACTATAGTATTATTCTATAACTAATTTTAACGCTGCAGCACTTATATTGATACTGAGTGCAACTTGGATTAAAAATTTAGTATGCAGTCACTTTATATAATTTCTGATGGTTTGGTTTTTTGAGATATATGTCTAGAACAGTGCATGTTACGGATTTTTATGTTTTGTGAAAAGGCAATTATTAACAAAGAATTTGGGAAGATTATATTAAACATTGTGCCTAACTTGAGTAAAATATAGGTGATACGTGACATGAAAACAAGCCAAAATATAGCGCATTTATAATCTAGTTGGTCTTCCCAATCATCGCTCAATGGCTGAGGCAGTGACCATTCAGTGTAAGGCTTCATACCACGGTCCTCCAATTCGTATTCTGCTTTACAGATTTGACAGCGCTTAATAATGAAGAATTAAATTTACTCCCTGGTTTTTCGATTTTTTAATGGATAAATTTTTTAAATAATTTATCAAGTTGCATAATTACTCGTGTATGCATCACGTCAAACCAATGTTGCAAGCATTGTGAGTGCACAAACTGTACAGAACCACGACATTCACATGGTGAAATCAAATTGGTGTCGTAGTCTTCTTCTAGACATATTCTACAATTCAGTTTTCGGGACGAGGATATCTGTCTGCAACAGATTTTTGCATGAAATACCTAAAGCTCGCATTGATTTATCACTATCAATAAGAATATTGGGAGTCTACGTCTTGAATTCAAAACACCTGTTTTTTCTGCTAACCTAGCACTAAGTAGAAAATCGTCATCTTGACATGTTAGAATTTCTGTCGGGTCTTCAAACTCTAATGCCATTCTTCGACTACTAAGAAGCAACCTCTTGATGAATTCAATATAGTAAAGGCATTTCTTGCTAAATGTGACATTTTTATATTTTACCAAGTAATTTGAATATTCAAACATTTAACCTTGGTTCTGATTGTTTGTTTGTTTCGTCCCAGAAAGACAGGAAAACACTTAAAGTTAGATTTCTATGTTATTTTTGTAATTACTGTTTAGATGAACCAGTTCAAATAAGTTTCTCCGAGATGTTGCTTGTCAATTTCATATATGATTAGGATTCCCATATTAGTTCAATGAATACATTGTTGTTTAAGGTTATGTACCTTCGGATGACTTCTGGTACAGAGAATTTGCCATGTGCATACGCATATGTTGAATTTACTAATCAAACATCAGTTCCTATTGCGCTACAAAATGATGGCATTGAATTTAAGGGTCGATGTTTGCGGTTTGTTTTAATAACTTAACGGTATATCGTTTTAGATTTATGATTACTAAAGTGATTTAATGTTTGTAGCATGACTTCCATTTCTTCATTTGCATGTTTATATTCTTTGACGAGCGAATTTGTTCATCACAATAAAAGATTTGGGATTGATGATGTTAAATTAAACCTTACACATTTTCTTCCCTCAGTGGTTTCATCTTTTAGATGGATATTTTTGTAACCACTTATCAAATCAAAATAAGTAACTTTTGCAGTGTACAGCATTCAAGAGTCGCTATAATCAAACCAGAAAGGAAAACAGCTGATATGGCTTTACAGGAAGTAGAAGAAGCAATTCGAGTGAATCAAAATCCAGATAAAACATGCAATGCTATCAGCAAGCTAAATCAAGGACTAGGTAACTTTTATTTTTGTTCAGTTTGATCTGTGAAATTGGCATTATTGGCTTCTTTCTTAATTATCAGTGTGATGAGCAAAACGGTTGGCAGTTTGCATTTAATGAATGATGCATTATAATCAATATCACACGGAAGTTAATGGTTCGTTACATTCATTTGTTGATCGGTGGGAACCTCCAACTTTGGGTATCTGATATTGAGCCTATGGCTCAACGGGTCGATGCATAAAACGAACAATATCCAAGAGAGGCTGTCACCTTGGAGGTTTGCCCGCTATACTTTTTTCTCCGTTATGGTTTCTCCATTGCTTTTCAATGTAACCGACCATCTGGGAATGATGCTTCTTAGAAACTAGCCGATCCACATTGGTATGTTGAGCCTTTCAAAATCGAACGCTTTTTAAACGTCATACCACGTGGTAAATAACTGGTTTCCATGCTCTCTGCAGATCGCCAGGTTCAAAAGTGCCTGCTCTCTTGCACCTTGAACCTTATCAACAGTTTCTAATTTGTGATCTGTAAGTTGTTTTCTCGTGGCAATATGTGGTTGAGAAAGTACCGCACACTTCTGAGTCTGGAACGAATTCTTCCATATATTCATTGTGCCGGTTATCATCGGCTCCCATTTTCGAGTTCCCCATCGCGGCCCAGAACTCCCTGAATTCCTCCGTCCCTACATTGTGGCTAACGGAATGTTCCTCAGTTAGTTTTCTATAAAACCACCTTCTGAACAACTCAAATCTGCGTTCTCAATTTTGAATGCACATCGGGACTCATAGCTCTTTATTATATTTTCATAATCTCTCCCGTTCTGTCAGCATGCTTAAGGGCTCATAACAGTCACGTTTGAGAGCAAGTCTGAGATTCATGCTCCTCATACACTTTCTGGTCTCCTTCAGATTTTTATCTTCAAGTATTTCATCGGCCATATACCGCACTAAGAGTGTTTTGTGAAAGTTATTCACACTTTTCTTCTTCTCTATACGTGCCTTCCATTTCGATGGCTTCTTTTTGTGCCTTGTCATATCTTCATAGCACTGTTGTGCAACCTGAAATTGCATTTCAAGATCAGTCAGATGTGGAAGGACTTTGTGTGGTATATTCACCCGCCGCTTGGTTTACGGCTCCATGTATTAGTGGGTCAACTTTCTTCGAGCTCATTTACCGCGTTCACTTTGTCTGGTCTATCTCACATCTCTGTGCTTCTTGCATCAGCACTAGATATTTCTCCTTTACATCCAGTTAAAACTTAGACTCGTGCAGTGTGTTTTGCTTGAAGAACGTATGTTATGTTTTGACACATTTCGTTGACTCCTCAAGAACCGTTTCTGCAAACACGGACGTCCTGCAATACTGATGATTGAAGCATTCGCTTTTTTCT